ATTCTCTAGTTCAAAAAATATGAAGGCATGTAGTAGAATTAGCATCACAATGCATAAACTCTTACACTGATGGTGAATTCCTAAGATGCACAACATGTTAATGTTTGATCGGCAAATGGGTTGTTACAAGCATCTAAGCTCTAGCTAGATCAAAAGCTTTCCACTTATCTACTCAGAATAGACATCTACACTCTAGTTTTCTAATTGTTCCTTGTCCGAGAATTTCTGAAACTAATCGATTGAGGAGCCTTTGGTATTATGACATTTTCATAATTAATCAAAATGATGAAGTTGCACAGATATACGAATATGCATTTTCGTTGCTTTTTCATCCAAACAGTATTCTTTGAGTTATGTGACTTGGAATACAAATTAATCTCAACATTATCATTGCCCATTTAAGGAAATAAGGCACACCATTCTCCTTGCTCCAATCAAAACCTGTAAAAAGTTTCGAAAGGGCATTTCGGGTATATCACATCGCATTCAAGTAGATGCTCTTAGTTAAATAACTTCATAAGGAGAGGAGTGAGTAAGGAGCTTGGCCTCAAAGCATGCAATAGTGATCTTCAGCAAAAGCTCATGTTGCATGTGTCACGCTATTAAAAGTCTATTTCATGATCTTGGTATTAACATTTTAATCCAGGAGCTTGATCAAGATCCAAAAAGGGAGAGATATAGAGAGAGCTCTGGTTCAGTTTGTGGGCCCCAACACGGCCATCCCTTCAGTGTTCATAGGAGGGACGTTGATCGGGTCCACTGATAGGATCATGTAGCTTCATCTTGGCAGAGATCCCATCCCTTTGCTTCGCAATGCAGGCACTATCTAGCTTTAATTATCGGTCTGCAGAGAATTTGGCAAAAAAAACCATGATAGAACAGATAAACATAGTATTAGATGTTATGTACTTTGTTTCTTCATATGATAATTATTCTCTAATCACTCCTCTTTTCTGAATTCAAGTGAGCGTAGCACGGGCTACTTAAATATGCTCAGTTATCATCATCAAATAAAAGCTTAAAGCTGTATATGAAAAAAGGAAATTCATATTTCCTTATTAAAACACAATACTTTTGCACTTGACAGTTCTTGACTAAAAATATTACAGGTGATGAAAAAATTATCCATAACAATGCATCCTATTTTCTCCCATGGTGAATTCCTAACTGCACAAAAGGAATCCAGCTTTGCGCATATTGACATCAGATATACATCAAATATGGATAACTTCTCGGAATATGAGTATCGGCTCTGAACTGAAGGAAGGCCATTCAATATTGTGCAACTTGTGCAGAACAACTTTAAGGGAATTGATGTGGCCAAGAACAAAACTTTACTACTGTACACTCATTATAGCGTACATAAAATGATCATCCCAGTCACAACATAATGTTTTCTACATTTCCATGATAAATATTAGATTTAGATTACAACTGCTCTACAATTACATAATAAGTATTTTGCACAAGATCTAAGAATCTTCGCAAGTTGACAAGTGCATTAAGCAACTGTTTCGGAACAGGCATCACTTCTTTCTGGCCACTAAGGTTGTCTTAATAAGCCTATATCCATGCTCATTTTGCAGTGATCAGATGTAAATGACGCAACAGACAGCTATCTCTGCAGCTTAAAGCAACTCAGGATATTCTTGGTCCCCATCGGCATCTTCAACTTCATTTTCCTCATCATCTTCAGGTGCATCTGGATCCAATCCCTGCACATACACAAATAGAAGTCATACAATATTGGACTCAAATAAGCAAGTCTTTGGTTGATGGCAAATTCATAGAAGCTGAAATGAAGACAAACCCTCATCTGCTTTTCCAAGCGCTCTAAACCTTTTTTTGCAGCTTCATTTTGTGAGTTTATTCTGAGCAAAAGAATTAGATCATAGGTTAAGTATAAGCCAAGGGGGGAAATACTTAAATAACACAGGCAAAATAAGCCATTTTCAGCTTGTAATGTTAACCAACATTCAGAAAGTAGAAAATTAGTATGCACAGAAAGGCAAACAGGCAAATATCAGATTGATGCTTTAATGTCTAAGAGATACATCACGAGATTATATCGCCTTCAGAGATTTGAACTCTTTAGATGACTCGATACTGTTAGGAGTTAAAAGACGGCTGCATTACCTTAAAGCAGCTTGATAGTGTGATAAAGCCTCTTGCAGCATATTTGTTGCTGCAAACACTTGAGCCAATTTGATGTGGAGAGAGTCATCAGCCCAGTCTTTCAGATATCTTTCGAGTAGAGAAACAGCATCTTTATTTCGTCCTTCAACAACATGTAGCTCAGCTAAGGCCAAAGCAGCTCCAAGAAAACCTGGTTCTAGACGAAGTGCGGATTCATAGAACTTCCTTGCCTTTATAATGTATTGAGAACAGAAATATCAAGAAAAGAGAACCAAGTTTAAGCCATCAAATCAATGCATATAGAAATTAATATAAAACAGATGTCAAGAGCGATATAAGACAATAAAATCTCAATAACACACAACACATAACTTTCTCAAATATGAACAATGTGAAACATGCCTTTTACATTTTCCGAGGTCAAAAACAACTACCATATTTATGCTAAAGCATTTTCCAAGAATAAATACAGTATAAACAATGGCTGCCTCGATGATTCCAACCATGCTTCTTCCCATCCAAAAGAGATTCACTAATGGAACACAATGAAGAGATGAGAAATCAGATAACTAGTTGTTGACTTGATACGAACACACTCTTACCTTGATGCAAAACTCCTAAAGAAAATCATGGTATAGGGAGGAGTTCTTGCTACAGTACTCAAAAACTAGCAGCGCACAAAGACCTACCCAAGTATAAATCAAAATTTAACTACTTCATGTTGACAATATTGCTAAAATGATACATCATGCTAGCTAAAATTAAATATACATGCATGTTTATCAGGAGAACTAGATGAGTATTCCAGGAACAGAAGAGTAGAAAATAAAAGATAATAGGAACTTACGCTAAATCTTTATTTCTATACTGAACAACAGGACTGCAGTATATTAGATGTTCAGGGTATCTTATATTTCTTGCACTTGGACCTCCCTCATTGTTTAATTTATCGCTACAATCAATCTTTACAAAGAAATTAATTAAAAGAAACATAAACAGCTCATGCTTCTCTAGATTTTCTACTTCTGTGTTTAGATATATCAAACTAAAGAAAAAAATTAAAGAGTTTTTAACAAGAGGAAATAAATGTGATATAGGCTTACCATATAAAATTTGCATATACTAATACTTTACCTTTTCCCTCCCACCAGGATTACTAGCGTGCACATCGCCCACTAATTTGAGAGCTTTTGCAGACTGTGGCATGGCTCTCATTGCCTCACGGGCAGTTAACAAGGCGTCTTTGATTTTATTTTGAACCAGATAAGAACGTACTAAGCCTGAACCAGTAAATAGATAGTGAGAAGCATGTTTTGAGGACCACACACACAATGAAAAGACAAGATTATCTACATAAAAGAAACACCTTGGTAAGACCGAAGATCAGGCCTCAAATCTTGAGATGCTCTAAAGGCTGTAACAGCAGCATCTGGTCGATTGAATGCCAAAAAGAGGTTTCCCTGGTCAAGACAACAGAATTTATATATATATAGCAGCCGAAGTTTTGCCTCATACATTATGACTAGATATTATTAGTTCATTACCTTCATTATATGTCCCGGAATATGTCTATCATCAATTCTGAGGCTCTAAATGACAATAAAAAACACTGGTGTTATTAGACATTTCTCATTTAAAATTGAAAACAGCAATAAATTGTAATATGATGTGCCTAACCTTCTCGGCATAAGACAGAGCTCTTCGTTCATCTTTTCGTTCCCATAATACTGATAAAGCAACAAAAGTTTCTGCTCTTGCAGGGTCGATATTTAACAAGTCATGGACCAATTTGTTCAGCTTAGAGTGGTCGGACTTTGCTTTTAGAAGCATGGCATACTCATCCATGTATGTAACAACATATGGATCAAGAGAACGAACCTGTGACATTCTAGCTTTGGGATATCCATAAACAAAACTATAACTTCTGCACGTGCCAATAGTTTTATCATCTTACCTTCTCAAAATTCATAGTCGCTTCATCATTTCTCCCAATTATCGCTTCAACCTTCATGCAATATATATAACTAGGTAAGTGATGGTATCAACTATGAAGATACTTGAACATTAAAAACGTTATTTGTCAAGAAGAAAAGGATAATTCTTCTTTGGTTGGTTTTTACGAATCTACGTGAAAACTGTGAAAACATAAAATCTCAATCAAGTTTGATCAAGGTAAGAATTACATTTGGAACTGTAAGAATCATATGCAAAAAATACTTACGTAACACAGTGAAAGGTCATACTAAAGACATTATAGAATACTCGATATACTACTTGGAATTGACGATAAGCAGAAGGAAGTCCAATATATCACATATGATTATTTTCATTATATTCCTTCCATTATCCACATGATCAATGGAAAGATCTACCACATTTTTCATATTTAGAGATATGAAGGTAGTATACAGTAAGTTGGCAACATTAAAATTAGTTGTTTTCTTCAATGATGCTAAATAAGCATGTCTTACTGAGAAGAAAACCTTTGCACAATAAAGTAGTGATCACACTGAATATACGCATGCAGAAACTTGGAAATCATCCCCTGGAGGTTCTATCCATATTGGATATTGTCTCACTTGTTCGCCTTCACCACCGCTCAGTTAAATTCAAGGGACAGGGTGAACATGTATGCAAGATAGATGATGGATGTGAGAACTTAGTTAAATACTGAAGATTGCATGCAAAATAAGCACAACAAATCCTCGTTTAGAACGACTTTTATTTGTAAGATAGACAAGGAATAAATGATGAAAAAAAAAGAAAGAAAAAGTTGTTGCAGCAGCTATAATAACCAAAAAGTCAAGAATAAATACACTTCAATTACTGAGTAGTAGTCATTACTGTTATAAACAGTGCAAGTATAAAGTATGAAGTCCGCTTAACTAATCAGATGCTTATCTCTAACCTTTGCAACCTCCAACAATATATGGACATTATTAGGAAAACGTTGCAAAAGTTCAGAAAAATGTTCTAGACCACCTGCAAAAATAAAGATAATTCAAAAGAAAAATAAGCACCTTCAACTATTAGAAATTCTGTGAATAAACGTCCTAACGCTAGAGATTGCTAGTAAAAGCTAGCATGTGCGGAAATAGTATTTAATGGAACAAAAAAAAATTATCAGGTAAATATAAACAGAGATAAAAAGAAATAGATGATTTTGGACAACCATGCAACAATTATATGCACCTTTTATTAGTATATTGCTTAGTACGAGACAGCACCTATGCTGCAAGGTCTTTATGTTCAATTCTGAACGGACACTTGTATCATGTCATGTCATGTCGTGTCAGACATGCGTCCAACAACTACAAGTTAAAAAGGAAGACATTGGTTGTTAAATAGGCAGATATAGGAAACTATGCCTTCATGAATGCCATGTTCAACATGTTGCATCATAAACCTAAAATATCTTAGGATCTTTAACACCCAACCTCAAGGATGGAAATCTCATAATACCATGTATAACACCAGTTAATTTCCTTTTCATAATACAACGAGGAAAATATGGCTTGAATAGTACAACATAGACTCTAATAATATTGCTTGCTAAATATTGGCACATCAAGAAAAGTCTGCCTTCATGAACGTAGGAAGATATGTCATGACATGTCGTGTCAGATATGTGTCTAACAACTATAAGTTAAAAACAATAAGATTGGTTGTTTAATAGGCAGATGTAGGAAGCTGTGCCTTCACGAATGCCATGATCATATCATGTCCATCATATACCTAAAAGATCTTAGAATCTTCAACGCGTACTCCCTCGGTTGGAAATTTCCTATAGTACTATTACCATATATATATAGAACACCAGTTCCTTTCATTTTCATAATGAAATGAGGAATGTTAATGGATAATATTGCTTGTTAAATATTGTCACATTAAGAAAAGTCTGCCTTCATCAATGTAGGAAGACATGTCGTGCCGTGTCGTGTCGGATATGTGTCCAACAAACAACTATACATTAAAAAGAATGAAATTGATTGTTAAATAGGCAGGTGTAGGAAACCATGCCTTCATGAATCCCCAATCACAAGCATAACATGTGCATCATACACCTAAAAGATCTTCTGATCTTTAACACCCACCCCTACGGATGGAAATTCCATAATACAATATATATGACACCAGTTTGTTTCCTTTTATAATACAATGAGGAATACCTAGCTAGAATAACATAACAAAGACGTATAAGTTTACGAAAGATTTCCTTGACAAATACCAAAACACCAAGAAAAAACTGCCTTTATGAATTGAGGAAGACATATGTGCAGTTTTTTGTGCTGATGTGCAGTGTTTTGTGCAGTTATGTACATGTATACAAAAGATCAGTCTCTTCCTCATAGACAGAAATATTTTGTCACAGACTGGGCAGTAAAAATTGATGAATGTAATGAAGACATGCAAAAGTTTTCCTACATATTTGTATTTATACCTAGGGTCATTTTTCTATTTGAAGAGAATTCTAGGTACCATATGACCAAACATGCAAATAAGGGTGCCAGTCGAACAGATTCAGTGTAGATCCCCAAGAGATCTACTTGTAGATCCATTATAACACTGAAGATAAAAACCAACCAAGGAAACAAGAATTCATATGCAAATCTAGACGGAATCTGATTCATATGCATTATAACACTGAAGGGTAAGCATGCAGATAAAAACCAAACAGGAAAAGGAGAATCCACATTCGTATCTAGATGCTGTAATCCTATCTAATTCATATTCCATTTTGGATAATTCCAATCAAATTTATGTTCTTAATAAGCCAAATTTTCCTACATATCAAATTAGAACTTGTTAAGATCCACTTGTAGATCCATTATGACACTGAAGGATAAAACCCAACCAAGAAAACAAGAATCCATATCCAAATCTAGATTGAATCTGATTCATATCCATTATAACACTGAAGGATAAACATGCAGATAAAAACCAACCAAGGAAACAAGAATCCATATCCAAATCTAGACACTGTACTCCTATCTAAGTCATATTCCATTTTGGATAATGTGAATCAAATTTATGTTCTTAATATGCCAAATTTTCCTTCACATCAAAATAGAAATTGTTAAGATCTTTTTGCTCATAATAATTAGTCTCCGCTGTTTTTTCCCCTTTTCAAAGTGGAGACTAATATTCAAATCATGGAAGGTGCAGAAAAGCGATCCAAATGAAAGTGCCAAACAAGTTTAAACATGAAAAATTAGTTGTGCACAAAATGGATTGGAACAAGAAGTATGATTTAATTGTGGTTAAGAACCTGAAAAGTAAACAGAAAAAGATCAAGTATTGATTACTCAAGGATCCATATCCATATCCAAATAAGAAACTAGACCCAAGTTTCAGGATCCCCAGGGCACTGAATAATCTGTCTGGATACAACTTCAAGATTCCAATCTAGAAATTCAGGTTAGATTTGGATCAGGTTACTAGCCTCCAATGCAACCCCTGAACATTGATCAGTGAAGTAATATACATGCTCATATCTGTCAAGTGTCAACACACGCATAAGATGTTCATGCACACAAGGAAGTTAATTACGTAGTGCATACCATAACACCTCGCAACTCGCAAGGTTGTCAGAAATATAGCCATGAAGTTAAATATCGACCAGTGAGATTGAAAAACCCAACACACATACAATCTTACGCATATAGCTGCATCAGTACTAATATGCAAGTCCTGGACACTTCCAGATATCAATAAGATCAGAGACAAAATGACGTTTTGGAACTACGAACCAGGGGTAGGTCTCTTGGTGTGCTTATTAATCAGGCAGCTCAATTTTATTTTTGGCAATTCACCCCCATTAAAAGCTAATATAAAGAGCATTTCGAGAACAGAAAAACAAAAAGAAGAAATTTGAAAGTTCGGTTCTAGACAAAATATGAAGGTGGATACTATAACTTGCAGGTAGTAGTTGTGCTAACAGTCCTATATATATAGTTTTCCCCTTAAAAACTAATGAAAACGTAAAGCTCAAGCATATACATAGTTTCAGGATATACATTGATTGTACATTCATATACGTTTCATAGACAATAATGACAGTGTAGAAACTACATCAGTAAAATCAAATTTCTTTTCCACAGTATAAAGCCAAAGGCCAATCAGAAAAGCGAAAAGTGAAATTATATATATGTCAAAAATATAAAAATACAAATCCATGTGGATATGAGAAGTTTAGAGTCAACATGAGCAGACTACATTGGGAAATGGGAATACCTTTGTAATCATTTGAAGCGATGCAACATTGAGCCTCGGTATACCGCTGTAGAGACATGTATTTGATGAATACAAAATATCAGAAAACACTTAAAAGCATATTTTTCAAGAGAGGTTTACAACTTTGTTGAAGAATGAAAATTAGAGTATATTATTAGAATAAAAAGATATTCATATTCCACAAGCCAAATCAAAAAGTATACTCAGTAGTCAGTAGTAGCATATAACATAAGGTAACTATATAAACCACAAGTTAAGAAGCATGCAAAAGAATGCCTCGACTGATCGTCTTGACAGTCTGTCAAAACAATGGTGGACCAACTTACTATACATCCTTACCATTGACAATACTTTCGCAACAATTAAAGAACTCATAGATACAAGCAAAAGACCTTATTTGGATAATCGCATTAATGGATATGAAAACAGAAAGGAAATTTTTGAAGACCATCATTAAGCTTGCATACAAAGGATTTGAGTTGAAACCCTACATGACGCAGCCAACATGCGCGCATGGCATGGACGTACAAGGATAGTAATTAATTTTGAACCCACAATATAAGTTATTGGCTTCAGGTCAGGCCAAGTCACAAACAGGAGGGATCGATAGGGTGGGGTGGATGTTCAGAGTTTGAGGCTTCAGTCACCACTAATTCTGCACAACCTGCCTGGAAGCTGTTTTGCTGTCAAAATCCTTAGAGCCCATCTATCCTGAGGGAATTTATTGGCCCAAATGAGCAAGGAGCTTCCTACTGAGCTTGTTCAGATGAATATTGGAGAGCAATCATGTAGGTATTCTTATTCATATTTCTTCATGCAAATATAAGATATTCCTAGAAATACAATACATTCTCCAGCAATGGTTCCTTATCCTTTTCTTGTGTACTATATTTGGACTTACCCATGAACCAACCAATGACTTTTATGTATACATATGAGATATAACATGGACCTTGTAGTGCAAACCGTTGCACCTGTTATGCATCTACTCTCATAGTTTTATTCCTTATAATCCAGGATGACAACTCAAGTGAGCCCTCAAATACTGTTTTGCAAATTTTTTTATC